TTCACCAAGGCGGCCATCCGCACCCAGCCCGCCGACGTGCTGCAGTGGTCCGCGGGGTAAGCGCTCCCCGGACGCCGGCCCGAGCCGGGCGGCCCGCGCACCGCTCAGGATGCTCAGAGCATCCGGCCAAACTGTCCCCTGTCTGTCCAGGAACCGTGCACGGTGATAGCAGAAATGACTGCACAGTGCTCGCTTATCTGCAAAGTAACGGGCTCAGTGGGCGGAGGGTGGTATTTATGAAGACAGACTAGTACTTACGAGGCAGTTGCACTGGGCAAAAAGTTTCTAAATTGCGTGGGAAAAAATCACTATGATAGTCACTTAATAGTATTTGTGAAATGGTTTTGCTTTTAGCCATGTTCCTCATCCGCAGAGAATCCTCCCAGAGTTATGTACTTACTGGTTTAAGTGTATGTAGAACTAGAATAACTGAGGCCATCATCCCAAGGCTACTACAGGTAAACTCTGTCCCAGCATAGTTTACAGCACATGAACCTTCACAGTTTCTAACAAACATTCTAACCCCAGGAACAGACATTCGTAATCTTTTTTTTTTTTTTTGTCATAATCTTAAAGTTACAAGCCAACAGACCTTAAACCGTTAAAATAAATCCTTTTGATTTTTACAGAAAGCTCTTTGCTGGGGCCGGCCCGTGGCTCACTCGGGAGAGTGCGGTGCTGATAACACCAAGGCCCCGGGTTCGGATCCCACATGGGGATGGCCGGTTTGCTCACTGGCTGAGCATGGTGCTGACAACACCAAGTCAAGGGTTAAGATCCCCACCAATCCAGAATCCTGATGAACCAGCTAAAAAGTGGAAAAGCACACTTTTATGATGGGAAGTGTCAGCATAAGTGTGAGTTTAATTTAAAATTTTTTTAGTAACCAACATGTCGAATTTTGCTGACTTTCTCTAAACTGTATAACCAAGATGGATTAGTTTCCTTTGGCTGATGTAACAGATTACCACAGAACTTGACAGCTTAAAACAACAGACCCTACACTTATTCTTACAGTTTTGGAGGCCGGAGGTCCAAAGTCAGTTTCTCTAGGCTAAAATCAAGGTACTGGCAGAGCTTTGCTCTTTCCTGGCTCCAGGGAGAATCCAAACTGTTTCCTTGCTGTTACCATCTTCTAGAGCTGCAGTCCCTGGTCCTCCTTGGCTCGTGGCCCCTTCCTCCACCTTCATTTTGTGATTTCAATTAAGGGCCATCTGGATAATCCAAGATAATTTTCCCATCTAAAATCCTTAATCAATCTGCAGTCCCTGTTACCGTTCAGAGGATACTTTTGTCATTACTTCTGAAAGATTTTCTCAAGGTTCTTGCTAAAATTATGGCCTCTGTTTTTAACCATTATTCAAGGCTAAATAAAAGATAGGACTTATGAGTTTATTTGCACTCTACACAAAATGCCACGATTTAGCTATTTTTTTCTTGGAACATTAAATTATTATTTCTGGTAATACTTCAGAGGCAATTAGTTTAAGCTTCACTTTAATTTAAAAAGCTTGAGAACTTTCTTTTTTTTTCCTTTTTGTCTTTTTTTACTGACCGGCAACGGGATCACAACCCTCGGTGTCGTGCCCGCACCGGGGACCGGCAA